CCTCTTTTGGAAAATGGAAATGCAGCATCTTAGTTCGACAATCTACCGTGGCATAACAAGAAGCTAACCAATCCATACCCATTATAACATCAAAATCCACCATTTCTAGCTCAACAAGGTCAGCCAACGTATCACGATCACAAACAGTTATAATGCAATTACGATAAACCCTTCTAGCTATAATAGAGTCACCAATCGGTGTAGACACCTCAAATGGCTTCACTAATAATTCTGGTGTTCTTTTGAACTTTTCAGCAATCAATGGGGTAACATATGATAGTGTAGACCCTGGATCAATTAATACATATACAATTTGTGAAAAGATGGACAATGTACCTGTAACCACATCCGGCGAGGCTTCCAAATTTTGTCGATCCCCGAGAGCATATGTGCGATTCTGAACTCCACTAGAACTAGCTGCTCCACTAAATCCTCTACCACGACCAGTAGGCATCTGTCCTCTACCTAAAGAAGGTGCTGATGATGAGGATGCAACAACTGATCTACTAGGTTGTGCCACACCACCCACACCCCTATGTGGGCAATTTCTCATCATATGACCTGGTGTACCACACCAAAAACAAACATTTGTCCCAAACCGACATGCACCTAAATGATTTCTTCCACATTGTTTACAAAACTCTGTCCCCTACCCAAAGAAGGTGCTGATGATGATGATGCAACAACTGATCTAGTAGGTTGTGCCACACCACCCACACCCCTATGAGGGCAATTTCTCATCATATGACCTGGTGTACCACACCAAAAACAAACATTTGTCCCAAACCGACATGCACCTAAATGATTTCTTCCACATTGTTTACAAAACTGTCAAGGAGGTCTTGATTGGCTCATACTTCCCTGCTTTTGGTACCCCGCTGTTCTTGAACCCTGGCTTTCACCTCTTTCCCCAAACTGATTGCCCCTAGACTCTTGAAACCGAGGTGGGGCACTAGCTGTAGAGTAGGAAGATGATGGCCTAGGTGGTCTGTTAAAGAACTGAGGCCTAAACTCACCTTGGGATGGGGTAAACTGCCCCATGGATCTGGCCCTCTTAGAATGCCCTGTTTCTGACTCTTGTGTCCTTCTTCTTTGACTTTGTTCCTCTAACTTTTGCACGAAAACTTGCATCCTTGCTATATCCATATCTTTATTCAACAAAGCAATGGTACAGTCTTTAACCAGATATGAATCTAATCTATCCACATATCGATGAACTCTATCCTCCATAGTAGTTACTACATTAGGAGCATACCTAGCCAAGGAATTAAATTTGAGACTGTACTCTCTCACACTCATATTTCCTTGGTGGAGATTTAAGAACTGATCCGTATGGGCCACTCGGATCTCCAATGGCAGATAATGGTCAAGGAATGCCTTTATGAACTCTTTCCACGTAGCTAAAGGTGCATCTGTTCCCCTAGATTGCTTCCAAGCTTCATACCAAAATATAGCTACTCCTTTTAATCTATATGCTGCTAGCTCAAGAGCTTCTTTACTATTTACAGGCATAACATCCAAAGTTCGTTGGATTTGATCTATAAAATCCTGTGGATCCTCATTAAGGTCTGACCCGGTGAATGATGGAGGGTCCAAATTAAGGAAATCACGTATCTGTATGCCAGCTGCTCTATCTATACCACTAGTACCTGCAACTAGACCTTC